AATATATATATATATATCTTGAAAATGTACACCACAATTGTAATACAATAGATATTTCAAAGGCAAATTGGAATAATTTTTAAAATTCACATATCAGAAATCACAAGTAATGCAACAAAGGTAACAATAATGTAAATACTGTTAAAATATTTGTACAGCTGCATGTGTGTCAGAGACTAACTAGCTATTCATCAAACCCAACTTCTCTTCCTCTTGGGCTCAAAGACAGACTATGGTTCCCAGCCTCTCTTGCAGTTAGATATGGCCATGTGACTGTGTGTGGGGGGGGTGGGGGCAACGGTATGTGAGTGGAGGGGAGGTGGACCTCTTCCAGGCTTGACCTAGAGAAACCTCTGCCATGAACCCTTCATTCTCTTACCTCTTCCAGCAAGGACAGCCAACTCGGAAACCACATGCTGAAAATCCATGGAGTATCAGTGCCTGGGAGATGCTGTCTGCCAACTAGCACACCTGTTCAGGAAGACATGGGCAAGAAAATATACTTACTGTGTTAAGCTTGAGATTTGGGGGGTTATCTGTTAAGAATCAGCAGAAGCAACAGATGGTAGACTCAAGGGGCATGTTTCCAAGCTGCTGGAAGTGGCATTAGTCTGATTTTAATTGTGAAGATCCCAGGTCCATGTGAGGCCCAGCCAATGACTAGTTGAAACGTATTCTGGTCAAATCAGCAGTGCCAGCAGGGACAAATTCTGAGGTCCTTAGAGGAGATTTCTGCCAATCCTACAAGCCAGTAAAGATTCCTGAACCACAGACAAATCATTCAGAGGGTCCTGATTATCCCTTTAAAAAAAAAATGTTTGCTCATGGGTATGTCCATTGTGGGAAAATATTTCTGTGAATTCTAAATTATTTAGAATTTGAATACCTGGAATCATCAAGAATGGCAGGTCTCAGATTATTGCCTTTAATTTAGACTCAATTTTTTCTATTTCTGCAAATTAATTGACCATGGAACTAAAATCATGCACAGCTACTGGGCAGCCTTCTACTGACATTCTTTTTAAAAAATTGAGAAAAATTCCAGACAAAAATTATAAAAATAAACACTTTTCAAGTTTAAATAGCATTCACATGCCAGCTAGTGGTCATACTTCTAAATAGGAACCTAAGATTAGGAAACAGTCCCTGTCCAAAATAAATGCTTCGAGATCTGGTTCTCTGTGTCGCAATGTTGTTACATGTTATTTCATATTTTCCATCTCATTATTTCCAAATGTGAGGCCTACAGAAATTGTATTCATTAAATTCTTAGGAACGTATTTGTTTTATAACCAATTCCACAACTGAGGGTGTAGCCCTTTCTTTTCTCACTGTCTAGGCTCTTGTGTGTTTTAGTAACTGACGCATCATTCCCCATCCTGGCTGCGAGGGATTTGGCTCTTTGGCAGCAGCAAACCCAGAGAAAGTTAACGCTAAACCCAGGGGAAGGAGCAGGAGCACAATCTGGTGCTTCTGCTGTGGCTGGCGGGTTGCCCCACAGCCTACTACCTGGTGTTGCTCAGACATCGCACCATCACGCAGGCGCAAAGTAACAGCAGGGAAATGCAACTCACAACATCCATGAAGATGGAGGCATACAAAGGAGTCGATTACTATCGTAACTAATAACACCCAAATCTGATTTATTCACTCAAAAACTAGTCCAATTGGAAGATTCCAGATTATTCTAAGCAGTTTAGTACTATTACTACCATACATGTTCCACCCACAACTCCAGTGAGGACATTAACACTGACACCTGTCCTCTAAACCCCTCAGTACAAACACAGCCGACACCTGTTTTAGAGGTCACTGAACTTCCCTAAGGTTAAATGCGGGGCATGTATTATTTAGTGCTTTTATGTTTTCTAATTAGATTACTATGCATTTATATGAAAGAATCACTCCATTTCAGATTCTAAGAATTACTTTAGTAACAGTGTCCCAAATGGGGAAATGCTTTTTTTCCTGGCGTGAGTGGGGGACTCACTTTTGACTCAAGAGGTCCACCTTTACACTGAGCAAATTCTGGATTAACTAGTAACTTTTACTTTTTGTTAGTGATAATGCTTTTTAATAGCACCCCAAAAAGAAAAAAAATTTAGACAGTATGTGCCATAACAAAGCATACAAAAAGATTTTTCCTCTTCTTTTTTAAACGCAAAATATGCTTGCCATAAAATCTGATCTTCAATCTACAGGTTTTATACACACAATGCTAATCCCTAAAACAACTGTCCCATGAGTTTAACAAATCATTCTCTCTCGCTAATATCTCTATTTGTGATTCAAGTTTTCCAAAAAAGAATTTCAGGTTAGAGTAAGGCTATCTCACTGAATTGCAGGATTAAGTGATGAAAATCTTGTATCTAAATCAAATAATGCCTTGCATTTACAGGGTTGACCTAGAGAACCTGCCACTTGGTATTAGCTCTTCACAGATTTAAAACTCCTGTTGCCATGGCAGGCACATTTATAGGAGCAAGGGCTTTCTTCCCTGTCAAGCGCTTCGACGTTTAAGAGTTCTTCATTTTGTTAGATACAAATTGTTTTAAATTCATGTATGATAAAAGGCAACTGTGTTTGAAGTCTTGTCATCCATCCAAATATTTTCTTATTACTACGGCTTAATGTTAACACAACATATATTATTCTGCACGTGTCCTACTTCTGATTAGGACAGAGGAAGCTGTGAAAGATTTTCACCAGTTGCTTCCACCATATATATCCCTTTGCAGGTCCCTGCTTGTCTGCCACCTGGAATTCAAGTTGAGGTCCACCAAAGAGAAACTATGCTGGTCTACATGAAATGGAACTGCTCCGCGTCCTAGGGTTTATGGAGGAACCAGACAACTACACCAGAAGCACCAGATTGTGCTCCTAGTCTTTCCTCTGGGCTTAGCTGGGCAGTATTTCCTGGAGTAGTGGATCCTGAGTATTATAAAGTGACATCCATCACAATTGATACAGCACAACAAGACAGCCAAAGATAAGAAAATCTGTCAAAAGATACAAACTTCTAGTAATAAGATGAGTAAGTTCTGGGGAGCATGATGATTATAGTTAATAATACTCTGTTATATACTTGAAAGTTGCTAAGAGAATAGATCTTAAATGTTCTCACCACAAAAAAAGAAATGGTAATTATGGGATGTGATGGCAGCATTAGCTAAAGTCATGATCATCATTTTTGCAATGCATAAGTCTATCAAATCAACATGGCATACACCTCCAACTTACACAGTGTTATATGCCAATGATATCGCAATAGAGCTGGAAGAAAGAAAGAAGAGAATTTGTGCTTAAGGGGAAGAAAATAAAATTCAATAATATGTGCAAATGAAATTGTGGACTCCAGTTTTTCCTGAAATGTGCACTGTGAGAATTAAATCACTATGGCATTAATGGTTGTTACACAAGGAACCATGTGTGTACCATGAACGTGCATTTAAGAAATGTTAAATTAAAGTTAAACTGATGTCTTCTCAGGGCCCTTAATGTGTTAATATGCATTGTGAATCCATAAGAGAGCAACACATGCTCTTAGTTGATCAAAAAAATTCTTTTTAAAAGGTATAGCAAACTTGGGGATCTGGTGGTGTCCATTTATGTTGCTGTCCATCCTTCTGCTCTTGTTTGCAGTTGACACTTCCTTCCTTATTTCTCTTCCATCTTTTTTCTTTCCTTCCTTCCTTGTTTCCTATCCTCCTTTCCTACTTCACTCCTTTCATTCTTTCTTTTCTTTCTTCCTCTAGAGTCATCCCCTCATATAAATGTGACTTAAAATGCAAAGAGTTGCAAGGAGGTTTGGTCTGGTTAAAATTAGAAATACAAAGAATTGTTGTTAAGAAAGAAAACAGGGGGAAAATAAGAATGAGTTACAGAGAGGATGATGCTTATTGAATCTTGACATTTTGATTGTGCTTCCCTGATTTATTGGACACAATAAGACTAAACATTTCTTGAACAAAGGATTAAGGATTTATTTCTTTTGCTTTATCTCCTCTTCTCTTTAACTTCATAATCTTTCCAAGTTTGTCATCCATTCAGTCCGTTACTCTTTGGAGAGGCCTTAACAACCCAAATAAATACACCACTAAACTATAATAAAAGTTCCTTCACATACTGTCACCATGCAATAAGTGATTCTGATTTATTGAATATTCTAGACAGCTTAATCCAAACCATAACACTAACATTTGCTTTTCAGGTTAATAGTTTTCAGTACACTGCAGAGTTTAAAACACGGTTCTCTCATTACTAAGAACATGTTAACTATTTTTTAATGATATCATTTTGAAACAAAATATAATACAATGAAATTCAAACACACGTTTATGCAATGTGGACAAGTGTAAGGGTACTTGGCACTATGCTAATTGGCTCTGAAGTATTGTGTTTTCCCATTTGGGCCAATTGTCTCCTCCTTCATCTCATTTTCTGCTCCGTCACACTGTCTGCTTCTGAGACCATCCACTCTGCTTGGATTACTCTTATTTGATCAGCCTTGTTTTAACTATCTTCTGGGTCTATTTATTTACTAGAATTCTCCCCTTTTCCTACCCACAGGTTTAGCTCTTTGATGGTCTAATATAAATCCTGTTTTCCATTCTAATGTTCTTTTAATCTGCCATCGTACCTTCCTCTTTTCTTCACACCTTACTAGCTGCAAAACATTATATGCTTTATACATTTTAACTCACGTAACCCACACAATAATCCTGAGGTAAAGACTCTATCATTGGACTCAAAGGAGTAGTTCAACCCATATGGCTTAATAACAGGTGGTACTGGAATTCAAATGCAGATGTATCTGACTCCAAAGCCAATATACAGACTCATAGGGTGAGACCAATATCTTTCTAATTGTCAAATTCAGCAGCCACTTCTCCGTCTTCATCCTTCAGGAGCAGTCTGAATTGTGGGTCACACTCTTTTTGAAGCAATATTCCCTTGTTTCATGCTACAATACAATGTTCTATTTCCATAAAAAATAAATAAACAAATATCCCAACAAGGTAACAGCAAAAAATATAGGACTAAGTCTAAAAACATCTATGAAGAAACTAACAACACGGTATTAAAACTCCTAAAAGAAGAACCAAATAAATGACTAGCTATGTGACTTTCACCAGCTGGATGATTTTGTGTCAAAAAGATGTCAATTCTCCCTCAAATTAATCTATAAACTCAGAGTTGAATTTGGACCAAAACGCCGACAGATTTTGTGCGCTGTGGGTATGCGGTAAACTAGAGAAGTCTACCAAGGTTCAAGTGGAAGCGCAAAGGACCAAGCACAGTCAAGCTGATTCGGATGGAGAATGTGACGAGGCTTGTGCTATCTGCTAGGACTGCTCTACATAGTGAGTCATTGACACTGTGTTGCCAGCACAGACAAAATGACCAAAGGATTAAAAGAAAGAACCCCAGAAACAGACCCATGTCTTGCCCAAGGTGGGCAACACAAATCA